GTACATTTCCGTGTGTTGTGTTTATGTATCCATTTGTCTGGGGCTTGGCTGCTCCATCGCTCACAACTTTTCTCTGTTTTCCTCCCTCCCGCTTACGGGCTGCTCTGTTCCCAACAGTCTTTCATAGGATTTTTGCTAATGGTGAGAGCTCCCTCTGCCCCACTTGGGGCTCTGTTTGTGCTCCCTTTGCTCCCTGTGCGGCTGCCCAGTGCATGCAGTCGTGGGAGCAAGGCCTGGTCCCCTATCTCCCCTGCCTAATTTTGCCTGCTTAGCTTCTGCCCTGTCAGCCTTCTACCTGCTTGCCCCTCCATAACCTGCTTGTTTCCTGTGGATTCTGCCTGGCTGGACACTTACTCCTAGATTCATATTCCCCCTCATCATCAGGCTGGTTCCCCAAATCATGCTGTGCTCCCAGATTCTCTGTGACTTGTAATCATTGTTATGATTGGAGTGAGTCCAAATCAGGCCTGGCCCTGGTTCCTCGTGCAGCCCTGTAGCAGGTAGCGTTGAGAAAGAGAGTAGAACAGGAGTCTAAAAAGTTTTGGTGGACTCAAAGTAAAACTGATTCAAGGGTATTGATTTAATTCTGATTCTTGAGTTTCTGGCAAAGGTGGGTAAGAAGGAGGCTAGCTCCTCCTCAGTTATATTTATTGCTTCTTCACCATTTTTATCCAAGTTCCTAAGGTCTCCAATCCTCTCAGATTAGGAAGGGCTGCCTGTTGTTTTATGTTAAATTGAAAGGTGGATGAAAGAAATAAAACTGAATATTTTCATGGTAATCAGAGATTAGATAAATTTGGGACTATGGGAAGATGAACAGGTCACAAGTGAAAAATTTCCCTTAGATATGTTACTTCTTGACTAGCCCCAAACTAGTGTCTGTTAATGTTATCTGAATCCTTTGTTGTTCCTGAGTTTGGGTCCTCAGATGTGAGGAAAAAGGGGGAGGTAGGTAGAGTCCATGTATGGTCTGTAGTTCAGGATGAGAAAGGGGATAGGTTTGTGTCTGCTAAGGGTTAGAAAGGAGACTTCAAAAAAATTTGGCTTTTGGGGGCCTCTCTCTCTGGAGTGAGACTATGCTTTGTTGATGGTGGTCAGATTATGGGTATCTTCCATACTCCCAGTGGCTCCTGACACTATCAACAATCATGTGAAGACTTGTCGGGAAGAGCAGAAGAATCTACACTTCTTTGCACCGGAGTATGGAGGTGAGGCATCCTGGCTTCTCTGTCCTGTCCTCATGCCCTGGTGTTTTGCACCTTATAACCTGAGGTACAGTGGTAATACAACCAAAACTTATATAGTCTACTTTACTAGCATACAATTATGTTTAAAAGGCCTATCTGCCACCCCTTGTCCTCAATCCTCTGTTTCACTAAGTCCTTTCTGTTTTCCTAGAAGTCACTAATGTTACAACAGCAGTGGACATCTATTCCTTTGGCATGTGTGCACTGGAGGTGAGGAACTAAAGAGGGAGGGGGGCAAAAAGAAAGGGTGAAATTAGAAGACAGAAGAGGGAAAATAGAGGACAAGGAAGATGCTGATCTTGAGGGAGTGACTGTGGGAGCACTGAGGTTCTTAGGTCTCTCCTTTTCCTTTGGATTCCTCCTCACTGCAGATGGCAGTGCTGGAGATTCAGGGCAATGGAGAGTCTTCATATGTGCCACAAGAAGCCATCAGCAGTGCCATCCAGCTTCTAGAAGACTCATTACAGAGGGTAAGGCTCTTCAGGATTGCTGCCTTCTTAACTGACTTTCAGGTGTCTTCATATTTTTTCTTCACTTAGACTCTTTGAGCAGGAAAACATAAAGCAGAAAAAGACAAAAATGTAAAATTTCCCTAAGAGGTGTCTACCTTGTTCTTGTATACATACAACAGGTTAGAGCTTAAGATGGTAATATTGGGGTTAAAAATTTTATGTTAATTGAAGTGTGTCTAAATGGAGGTAAACTAATTTGATGGTTACTGTACACAGTTGCTAAATTCTCTTGACATTTGAAAGCAAAATAATCACTTTAAATTAATCAAATCAGTCATTTGGGGATTTCATATTTATATAGTTTTAGTTAGAAGGTTCCTGGAAATAATGACCTATTGAAAGGACCTAAGGAATACGAATCGGTAGATAGACTGACTATAATAAGTAGAAGCTGGACAAGAAAGTCCAAACAAGACTAGTTTGTAACTCATTAGAGATAAATATAACGGGGAACAGGAAAGGAAAGAAGAAAAGCTAGAAGTCTTGAGTGCAGTGTGAAATAAGTTTCTAGTTCACATTGTGGTAGAATATTCAAGTGAAAAATTAGGTATCAGATCTTATTGGCCTTTAAGACTGAAAGTAAGAAAGGTTATGTCATGGGACCTCCAGGAGGTAAAAAAGGATTAGCATGGTTAAAGAAAGCATGGGAAATCCAGTGGATTTCAGTGATTGTAGTAGACAAAAAATTGTGATACTAGGCCTGGGAAATAAAGTGAATATTACCACAATAGGTAAAATTTGGGAAGGGAAAAGTTGAAAAATATTTAAAAGATTGTGGTTTGAGAATAAAAAATAATTAAGACCAGAAAGACAGTGAATGATATCTTTTGATATACTATCTTATATTTTCAAACCCCTTTCAAGTACATTTGTCAGTGTTTTCTCCACAAGTGCTGAACACCTAGTGTGTGCAAAGCCTTGTAATGAGAGCTTTAAAGATGAACTCGGTGGGGTGTTTGCCAGATGCCTGCTCCAGTTCTTAACTCTTTTTTTTAGGAGTTCATTCAGAAGTGCCTGCAGTCTGAGCCTGCACGCAGACCAACAGCCAGAGAACTTCTCTTCCACCCAGCACTATTTGAAGTGCCCTCACTCAAACTCCTTGCTGCCCATTGCATTGTGGGTCACCAACGTGAGTCCCCTTGAACCCTACTAGGAATTTTCTTCCAACTCTCACTGGCATGCTCTCTTTCTTCTATTTCCAAAGAGATTCTTTGGCCCTGTGCTTCCATTCCACTATTCATAACATTCTACTCCATCATGCCCTCCAGACATGATCCCAGAGAACGCTTTGGAGGAGATCACCAAAAACATGGATACCAGTGCTGTACTGGCTGAAATCCCTGCAGGTCCAGGAAGAGAAGCAGTTCAAACTTTGTGAGTAACCAACTGAGAGGGTCTAAAAGGGACAAATGGGTCACTACCACTCTGAGGATCTGTAAAATGCTCGTTCTCAGGGAAAGGTTGAGTCTGCTGTTTTGCTTGTTCCCTTACTTCCATTATCTTTCTTTTCTTCTTTAGGTATTCCCAATCACCAGCTCTGGAATTAGACAAATTCCTTGAAGATGTCAGGTAAGGGAAGAGTGAGGCAGGCTTCCTTAAGGACGCAGGGGCAGGTGTCCTAAGGCACTCCAGAGCCCCATGTAACCTGTCTTTACCTCCTTCCAGGAATGGGATCTACCCTCTGACAGCCTTTGGGCTGCCTAGGCCCCAACAGCCACAGCAGGAGGAGGTGACATCACCTGTAGTTCCCCCCTCTGTTAAGACTCCAACACCTGAGCCAGCTGAGGTGGAAACCCGCAAGGTGGGGGCTATGTAGGTGTGAATGTGTCCATGGTCACTGGGGAAGGGGCAGCTCAAATAAGCCTTACCCATTAGAGAAAAAGTGTGTGTTTCTGTCCTCTGGTCATCGTGTCGTGTGGCCTATGAAGGCTTCCAGGTGTGACTGCTTTCTATTCCAGTAATTTTCCTGTCTTGTTGTGTCCTAGGTGGTGCTGATGCAGTGCAACATTGAATCAGTGGAAGAGGGAGTCAAACACCATGTAAGGCTCAAGGCCAGGACTGCACAGGACTGGGTGGGCAGAGGGTGGAGGAAGAGGAGCCTTATTTATTTATTTATTGGTCTTGTTCTCTAGTTAACACTTCTGCTGAAGCTGGAGGACAAACTGAACCGGCACCTGAGCTGTGATCTGATGCCAAGTGAGTCTCTCCTTTTGCTTGGAGGATGGAGGGCCTGTGAGCTTTATCTTTAAGGGACATATTCAGGGGTGGGAAGATGACAAATCAGTAAAATATTGCTCCCACAGAATAACTGTCTTAGCCCCTAAAATTTGAAGAGCTCTGTGTCCCTTCCTACTATACTCAGCCCTCCTGTTTCTTTGTCAGATGAGAACATCCCAGAGTTGGCAGCTGAGCTGGTGCAGCTGGGCTTCATTAGTGAGGTGAGGTTCCTGCCTACCTTCCTCTACCCTGGCTGCCTCCCTGCCTTCTCTTATCTCAGCCCACCTCACTGAGCTCCTCTTCCCAGGCTGACCAGAGCCGACTGACTTCTCTGCTGGAGGAGACCCTGAACAAGTTCAATTTTGCCAGGAACAACACCATCAACTCAGCCGCTGTCACCGTCTCCTCTTAGAGCTCACTCGGGCCAGGCCCTTATCTGAGCTGTGGCTGTCCCTGGACATGCTGCAGCCCTCCTGCCCCTCCCCCCAGTCAGTATTACCCTGTGAAGCCCCCTCAGTCCTTTATCATTCAGGAGGGCTTTAAGGGCTCCCTGGTTCTGAGCATCGTGCTCCCCTCCCCCTTTCTTCCTCCCCTCTGCACTTTGTTTACTTGTTTTGCACAGACATGGGCCTGGGCCTTCTCAGCAGCCGCCTTCTAGCTGGGGGCTAGTAGCTGACCCGGCGGCTCCGCCCAGCCTGTGTGGACGGGAGGCCCATGGGCACTGGGGGAGCCGAGTTCTACAATCCCGCTGGGGCGGATGGGCGGGAGAGAAAGGTGGTGCTGCAGTGGTGGCCCTGGGGGGCCATTCGATTCGCCTCAGTTGCTGCTGAAATAAAGTCTACTTTTTGCTAAAACTGTCGTGTGTTTGCGCCTCCTAGGGACAGTGCAGCAGATTGTGCAGCCGCCCATTGGGCGGGCCTCAGGTGGAGGGGCGGGGCCCAGGTAGAGCTGCCTTGGGGCTGTGGAGGCTGGGCGTCAGGTGGGGGGGCGGGGCTGAACTCACGGTTGGCGGGGCGGGGCCAGACCCAGGTAGAGCCGCCGGGCGGCTACGCAACCCACGGGATGAAGTGCTACCGCCTCTGCGTGTTTGGTAACTTCCGCCCCTCCCCTCGGTCCCTGAGACCCCTCAGCCTGTCCTACAGGCGACAGCTGGCCCTACGTGCCACCTGCCCCTCCGGGTTCAGGTCTGCCCTCCCCCTGCTTTACAGATGCAGCCCGCGGGCCCCGGCGGCTGATGCGCGTGGGCCTAGCGCTGATCCTGGTGGGCCACGTGAACCTGCTGCTGGGGGCCGTGCTGCACGGCACTGTCCTGAGGCACGTGGCCAACCCCCGTGGCGCTGTCACACCGGAGTACACCACCGCCAATGTCATCTCTGTGGGTTCAGGGCTGCTGGTGAGAGCCTGGGGGGGGGGGTCGGGACAGGGTTGGGGGCGGGTAGGGAGCGACATGCAGAGCGCCTGTGGGCCAAAGGCTTGGTATCTTCCGCAGAGTGTTTCCGTGGGACTTGTGGCTCTCTTGGCATCCAAGAACCTTGTTCGTTCACCACTGGTGAGAGGGGACTTCTGGAGCTTGAGAGGGGTAGGGCGGAGGAACTGTCTCAGCTTTTTCAATGTGAAGAAGGAGCCTCAAATAGAAAACTGTCTAGTTATTGGCAGACTTTGCTAGGCCTAGGCTGCTCACCATTATTAATCTTCTGCTCTGCCAGCACTGGGCCCTGCTGGCCCTGGCTCTAGTGAACTTGCTCTTGTCTGCTGCCTGCTCCATGGGTCTTCTCCTTGCTGTGTCACTCACTGTGGCCAATGGTGGTCGTAGACTTATTGCTGACTGCCATCCAGGACTGCTGGATCCTTCCATCCCACTGGACCAGGGGTCTGGTCACACGGACTGCCCCTTTGACCCCACAAGAATCTATGTGAGTGCTTTCTTGCCATTCAGAAAGCCTTGGTCTTGCCCTTTTAATTTCCTCATTTGCAGCTTATGTCACATTTCCTTTTAGCCCTCATCCTTGCTTTCTGCTTTTAGGATACAGCCTTGGCTCTCTGGATCCCTTCTCTGCTTATGTCTGCAGCTGAGGCTGCTCTATCTGGTTACTGCTGTGTGGCAGCACTCACCCTGCGTGGAATTGGGCCCTGCAGGAAGGAAGGGTTTCAGGGGCAGGTAAGGAAGAGAAACCGGAAGGGTTCACTCAATACAGCCAGTCTGTGTTACAAAGGAGTTGATGTATCATTCAGGGCCATGGTACAAACTCCACCCTCTCCTGCAGCTAGAGGAACTGACAGAGCTTGAACCTCCTAAATGTAAACAGCAGGAAAATGTGCAGCTACTAGATCAACATCAAGAACTCCAGGAGTCACAGAAAACCTGGGTTTAGGACAGGTAAAGGGCCCTGAGAGTGGGGGTCTGGGTTAGAGAGGGGACATGGAAGTGTTCTTGGGACCAGGGCTAGTTCTTTACTGTGCTGCTCCTCTCTCTGACCTGGATTGGTTCTTCCTTTATCAGGCAGGTGATGTTCCAAGGCTCAGTCCACAAGTGTTTTCCACTGGGGCCCTGACACCAGGATGGTATCGATAATTGTAATAAAGAACTTCTCTTTTTTCTACTTGGTTATAATTCTTTTTTTGGGGAAAGGGTACTGTGCTGGTGTTGGGGGTGATTCATCAAAGAATACAGTGGTATCAATTTCTTACAGAACTTTAATGAGGGAGAGGCCCAAACCCTTCCTCAATTTTACCAGTCACTGAAAGGAAAAGCTGGTGCTGGGGAGCCCTCCACACCACTGACTGATGAATTTCAGCACATCCTGGCATACTGGGCTGTGGGAGGTCTGTGAGTAAAGGGAAAGAACATCACAGAAACTCATTAGAGCTGGTACATTGGACATTAGCTTCATCTCCGTGTCCTGGGGAGCAAATGCAGGGTCTGCACCTATCTTCTGAAAGAATCCCAGCCTTTCCCAGCCCCTCCAGCAATGCTGTTCTCCCTGCCTGCTTTCAAGTTTCCCTCTCTAACCTTAATAGCCATAAGAAACTTATTCCAGTTGTCCTTGTTAGCAGCCTTCCCTGGACGCTTAAATTCAATTTTGTTCCTCAGAATGGGGTAACCTGTGGGAGAAGAGAAAAAGAAGAACTAGAGTTTGAGAGAGATTGAAGAGGGTGGAAATAAAGAGAAGCCTGGGGATAAAGATGGCTATCATTTGTCTTAGGTGCCCTTTACTAAATTAAAGTGAAATGATGTTTTTTTTTTTTTTTTTTTGGTTCCAGAGATTGAACTCAGGGGCACTCAACCATTCAGCCACATTCTCAGCCACATTTTATATTTTATTTAGAGACAGGGTCTCGCTGAGTTGCTAAACGCCTCGCCGTTTATAATTTATTTATATGTGGTGCTTTAAACTCGCAATCCTCCTGTCTTAGCCTCCAGAGCTGCTGGGGTTATAGGTGTGTGCCACTGCGCCTGACAAAATAAAGTTTCTTGATCCTTCTACTTTCCCCTCCATAGGATAAGGGGGTGCTGTGGGGTTCTATACCTGTGATAAGGCAGGGAAGTGCCCGAACTCCAGTGCTTGCTGCCACTAGGGAAGCCTCATAGGCACCACGCTCATCCCGAGGCAGAACCTGCTCCAGCCGCTGGTCCATTGAGACTGTGAGTACCCAGTCTCGAACCTCTTCTCTCTGGGCTTCCTGGTGGGGACAGAGGGAGCAAGAGCTTCACAGAGGGTAGGGCAAATGGCTCGGGGGATGGGATTTCCTATACCCTCATCCTGTACACCAGCTTTTCAGCCATAAATGATCCTCCTTGAATTGAGGGACAATAATGAGAGCTGAGGTCCTTCTAAAGATGGCAACCCAAAGCTGTCCTCCTTTCTTCTATACCCTAGCCCGTTTTTATTTTTATTTTGAAACAGGTTCTTGCTAAGTTCCCCAGGATGGTCTCAGACTTGAGATCTTCCTGCCTCAGTTTTCCAAGTTGCTGGGATTACAGGTGTGTTGCTGGGATTACAGGTGTGTGCATCCCTGTAGCTTTTTTTTTTTTTTTTTTTAATATTTTTTGGTTGTCCATGACCTTTATTTTATAATTTATTTATATGTGGTGCTGAGAATTGAACCCAGTGCCTCACACATACTAGGCAAGCACTCTACCACTGAGCCACAACTCCTGCCCCTGTCCTGCCTTCTTAATGCACTCCTTTGTTGACACCTTCCCATTTTCCAACCTTGCACCCTTACCGGTATGTGCTGCTTGGCTGGTAGTGGCACCTCAAATGGAATGTCTGTATCCTGAAAATCAGAGTGGTCAAGGGCATCCAGAGTCCCTTCTTCGATCGCCTATGGCACAGTGGACACCATGACATAAGTACAGCTTGTGACAGGCAAAGCCTCCCAACCTCTGCACATGATTCCTTACATCGGTAAGATCCAAAAAGCGGTTGAGGAAGATGAAGGCCATGTTCTCCCAGCCAACTGCCTATGGCAAAAAAAAAAAAAAAGCAAATGGGAAAGAGCAAGCTGAGCTTGGATGCCACTGGATACAGGGACACACTGCAAGCAGATATAAGAGACCTGTATCTACCCCACACTCAGTTTAGCTCAAGGGATATTCTCTATCTTCCGACTCTGTTCTAGCTTCAGCCCCACCCTTCCTTGTTCCAGCTCACCTGGGCAGCAATGCCTGCTTCATAGAAGGCCTTATCTGCAGGTAGTAGCTGGGTGTGACGCAAGAGTGAAACAGAAAGCCTGGCAGCCACAGTTTCCTAGAGATTGAAAGCAAAGCTTTAGGATCTTGGCACTAGTGGCTGAGCTACCAGATGAATGATCCTGTAACTAATAGCCACAAAACTATAAAACCAATAATCAGTGTTAAACTGATCTGTATCTCAAGCTGTTTGGCTCTTAGTTTCTTTCACTGGCACAACAGAACTGGGCCTAGATTATTTCTAAGCTTCCTTCCGTTTCTAGAATTCTGTCATCCAACTATATGAAATAAATACACAGCAAATTATCAAAAATAAGTCAAACGTGTGTATACATGGTGGGGATGTAGCTCAGAGGTAGAATGCCCCTGGTTTAATCTTTAGGACTATAAATAAATAAATGAATAAGTAAATAAATAAAATAATGTGTGCATTATATGGGTTGAATAAAGAAATCATAGAATTTGAAGGTTTAAACATACTAAAACTGTACTGGGGATGTGGGTCAGTGGTAGGGTGCTTGCCTAGCATGGGTCGGATGCTGGAGATCTAACAAAAAAATAATCTGAAGCTGTATGGGTCTCAAGCCCTAAGAAGGTCAAGACAATATGGGAAGAATACCCACTTCAGCAAAGGTTGAAGACTGATTTATATAGAAGAGGGGAAGTCCAAGAATCTAAGCTCAGGAATCCAGAACTTGGATTCATTCAGCTTCATAGGTTTGAAGATGCCTGCACCTCATCTCCCCGCACTGCATCTCACCAGCTGTTTGATGCTCTGGGCTGCAGAGCGAGTGGCGTAGTAATGAGCAATCAGCAGCATTGTTTCAAACTCCTCATGAGCTGGAGAGTTGGCCTCACTGGATTTCACCAGGTTTTCACACTAGGGAAGGGAGAGAGCGAGGCTGGCTCAGGGGTCAGAGAAGGGCCAGTGTGACAGAGAAGTCACTGATGGCTACCTGGACAGAGGGGGGTAAAATACATCTTGAGAGTAACAGTTTATGGTTTATGTGCATGAAAGAAGAGACTGGGATGGGGACAGGTGGAGGAGTTTTTCTTTTTTGGCAGTATTAGGTAGGGATTGAACCCAGAGCCTTGCACATGTTAGGCAAGTGCTCTACCCATCACATCCCCAGCCCAAGAGAAGCCCTTTTACTCCATTGTGGACCCAACTTCCTCACCAGGTTAAAAAGGACATCCCGAAGATCGGCCCAGCTATGATAGGCCTCAGCACTGTTGGTCCCAGGAGAGCTGACCATGTCCGTGAAGATTCTTTTGTAGATGTTGAAGTTCTAGAGGTTGAGGGAGAAGGGGGATCAGAGTGTGGGGCTCAAGCAAGAGAGAAAGTCAGTGGAAGTGGAGCCAAATGGAGGAGAGTGTTTATGTGTGGGGTTTTTCTTTGGGGGGGGGTACTAGGGATCAAGCCCAGCCAGAGGTGCTCTACCACCGAGTTATATCCCCTGCCTTCTTTGCTTTTTATTTTGAAACAAAATCTCACTAAATTGCTGAGGCTGGCTTGCCTCAAACTTCTGATCCTCTTGCCTCAGCCTTCCAAGTTGATAAGATTGTAGGTGTGCCACTGTGCCCAGCTGTGTGTGTAGAAGCAAGGGGACATTGATAGAGAAAAGTGCTGATTATGTTAAGAGAGAGAAAGTAACTACTTATAAGCTGGAACTCTTGAGTTTGGGAAAATACATGAATGAAAATGCAGTCATAATATTAATGGACTAATATTCTACAGAGCTGTGTTTCTCTGATAGGAGGGCAGTGTTTATTCTCTGAGGAAAGTCAATAAGTAAGCCTTGGAGGAGTGTGCAGGACTCCTCTGAAAGACAGGTCCTTGGGTACAAAGAGCACAAATAGCTCATTGGATGTTTCTTCAAAGGGTAAGTCTTCTTGAGAGGTTACACATCAGGAGAGGTTGGATGGGGACTCTGGCCATGATGTTCTCAAAGGGCAGAATCCTTTGAGAAGACTAGTCCCTGAAGGGATGGGTAATTCTAGAGGAAGAAAGAATCCCCTGGTGGAAACATTTGCCTCAAGGAGAAGGCTGGTACCTGTGGATTAGCAGGAGCTCCATGTTGCACATAGAGAGCCAGTGCCTGGGCAGAGCCACCCTCCCGGATCAGGTGAGTTGCATACAAAGCCACGTATTTGTGCAAAATCTTGTAGTTCTGTCAAGGGATGGAGGAAAAGCACAGGTGAGGGTAGGGATTGGTAAGACAGGCAGGGAGGAGGTGGTAACTTAAAGCCATGGACTTGTTTAGGAGGCAATGGGCATATGCAACTCTGACTCCAATATCAGAATATGAGGCAGCATCAGACTGTACTCTCTGGTTCTGATTAGGATCTCTGGAGATTAGATTCTGGTAGAGGTGAGAGAGGCAGCTCTGGAGCTGGCAGAAAATCAAGGGAATATGTAGAGAGGAGCTGGAATGGGGAGGAGAGAGGAGCACCTGCTTGGTAGCTGTGTCAATGCATTTGTCCCACTGGCCCTGCTCCACATACAGGTCCAAAGCAGCAATCACGTCCACACCCACCAGCTAGAGAGTAATGCAAAAGATAGTTCAGAAGAGATGACCAGAGGGAGAAAAGAAAACTTCTCACCCACATTCTGCTTCTAATCTTTTTGTTGATTTTGCAACACTGGGGATTGAACTCAGGCCTCACATGCTAGGCAAGTGCTCTACCACTGAGCTAACCCTCCAGCCCTGTTTCTGCATCTTGTCTCTCACTAACTCTTCAAGTCTCACCGAGTCCACTTTGCCCTGGTTCTTGAGGAATTCCTTATAATGCTGGTCCACATAGTCTTCATACCTGTGAAGATGGGAAATGGATAGAGATCTCAAGCTTCATTATCTTGGGATGAAACCCTCCCCCAAAGAATGTTTTCCCTGTATTTACAAAAAA